CAGAGTTAGGTAGTTTTAGTGCCTCAAAACTGATGTTTGAAAACACCATCCTGAGGCATCTCTGCACAGCAGGCACTCTGCCCTCTGGAAAACCAGCTTAGGACAGAGTGGGGAAAATGAACCTGAACATATGGGCTAGTGGCCCCCACACCACTGTGGCAGTGCAGGGGTAAGGTCAGGCCTTGGCATTGCAAAAACTGCATGTGACTGGAGGATGTGATCCTAACCATGCTCAGGGGCAGGCAAGTCAGAGTCTCACTCTTTACAGACCTGCCAAGTGGAAAATGTTTATTTGCTGCTCTGGATCCACGATCTAGGAGAAAAGAATAAAAGTGATTTAACATCCAATGTGAGGAAAATCACCTGACTGGACAGGATGCAGAGGACAAATGGGACAGAGGGCCTTACCTTGCCTGGCCAGGAGGGATGGGGAAACAGAGGTGAGGCACAGGATCAGATTCGTTAATTATTATTTGTTATTAATTTTCTAATTTTTCCCTTGCTCGGATTCCACAATTGCTGGAAATAAAGGCTCCTCTAGCTGTCTGGGTGCATCTGTGACATTGACGCTGTCTTTGAGATGGGGAGCACCCTCTGGTGGTTAAGGATAATCTGACATTTCCTGGGATTGGCACCCATCATCCCCACAAGCTGCCAGTTAAGCTGGGCGGGAGGCAATGCTGGCTTTCTGTCACTTGCTGGGATGGGTGTTTGCAGCACAAACGCTCTCTCTGACTTTCTAGCCCAGGAATCTGAGTTGACCCCTTGGGAAGCCTTTTTGCCCTGTGAAAAAGGGTGCAAGGTGTGTGTGTTCTCCCTGCCCTGCCGTTGGGCAAAAGCTCACGTTCAGCCCCTTCTTGCTTTCTCCTGGTGAGACAGCAAGTAAAGCTCAGTTTGCTTCGTTAGTTCCTAGCGGATACAAAATCCGGCCCTGGCTCTCTCCCTAGGGTCTGCTGTTCCCCGCCTCTGCTCTTGCTCCTGTCTCCCAAAAGCACTAGTCTTGCTCCTAGAGCTCTCCCCAGTCCAGCTCTGGCTGGATTTGCTCTGCCTAGGTGCTAAAGCCAGCACAGTACAGTCCCTTGCAGAGAGCACAGGAATTCAGCTCAGGTTTCCCTTCTCCTTCCCTAAGTGGATTAACAGGCTGAGGGGATCGTCTCTGCCTGCCTGACTCAATCTTCATTAGCTAACATGTTTCGCCAGCCGCAGTCACATCCTGGTCTGGAGAGCTGTTTGACAGGAGTGGATTCTGGCCCCAGCCTCCCACAAAGGCTGTTGCGTCTTCTGAGAGGGTTTTCTTGATAGCAACGCTCTGTGGGCTGCCCTCGGTGGTAGGGATGTAGGGCAGGAGCACTGCAAGATGTGCATCCTTGCTCTATGCAGCGCCCACTTTACAATAACTAGTATGCATCCTCTGCTGACTGAGAGACCTGCACCCCTATGTAATGCATGTGCTGTACGAGTGTCAGAAAATGTTCTGCGTCTCTGACGGTGCACCCACGTTTGGTTTTTTCCCCTCATGTTTTCCAGCCAAGGGAGTATCCTGATTATATTGGGACGTCCCTGAAACTGTTGTTAGTTGGCTGTCACTTTTGGATGCACTTTCTTGGGTGCTTGTACGTAGTCAGTTTGAATGCAATATTTCCTAACAAGCTGTGTGCAAGCAACTGACCCTATCTCCTCAGCCCCTTCTCCTCCCTGCTGCTTTGTGGTAGTCATTAATGGGTGTTGCACCCTTGCACAAGCAGTCATTTATTTTACAAGTGCTGCTGTTTCCTCAGTCCAGAGAAGATTTTTTCTACACAAGGAAGCTGTACACTTTAAATTGCACCGATTTTAAAACAATCCATTTAAACTACTGAAAATCCAAACTGTGGATGCTCTCCTGCCAGTTTGAGGATGCTTCATTTTTGCTCATTAGATGTCTAAACAGGTTTAGTTTCAATAGTAATAAGTGCCTTTTGCACCAGCTTAAGTTAATCTATTTAAAATCGTACCTTGAATAATATTGCAGTAACATTCTCATGCAAAGAAAGCCTGCGAGGAGAGGAGGTGAACACTGGGCATCACTAATACCAAATGCCATTGGGGTCCCCTATGCCCAGCAGTATGGAGGCATTTGATATCTGTGCAGAGGTCTGAGCGTACCTTAGCAGGAAGAAGAGGCCTTCTCGTGGCTGTCAAATGCATGTAAGTGGGTGCAGATTAAGCCTTGTATTTCTGCAAAACTAAGACTCTGTGAAAGCACAGAGCATGCTACAGAAATTATTGTGACTGAAAAATCTCAATGAGAAGCGTTTCACAAGGAAGCAAATGTTCTTTAGTTTTTGTAACCTGACCATTGCGGCGGGGGAAGTTGGTGTGCCAGGCTCTGAAAGCAAGGTTGACTAGCCAGGAACAGAATCAAAATGGACTTTTTTTCTTTTGACAAGTTGGAAGGGAAATAAAAAAGGCAAATGAGCATGAAGGGGCAAAGGACACT